CTTTACCTGAGAAAAAATGAGGATTTCTCATTTTAACAGAGAAACACACGGATTTTGCACTTTTGCAAAGAGCCCTCTGCAGGCTGGCACAATTCCAGCCTAAAAGGGGCTGGCGGGAGGAGGAGGAGGGCAGTCAGGCAAGAGGCGCCATGTACATGGCCACCAGGCAGCCCCTGCAGATAAGACTGGTGGAGGTGGGGAGGGGGGAATAAGGCCCCCATAAGGAGGGAGTTGGGCAGGACTGGGGCTGGGGCTGGGGCTGCTGCCTGGCTGGGTGGTACCTTGGGCTTGGGGCCCGGTGTTGTAATGTGCAGTCACAGGGCCCTGGCGAGGAGCAGGATGGGGCTTTGGGTGGCTCATCCAGCAGGTTGGGGGGAAGGGTGGGGCCAGCTCCCCGCTGCTGTGCACACTCTCAAGGGAGGCGGGGGCGGCACGTGTCCCCCAGATATGTGCATGGGGCAAGGGCGGGCTGCCCATTGTGGGCTCAGGCTCCCTGCCCTGCTGCCCTCCCTTGAGGCCCCAGCAGACAGGACCCAGCATGGCAGGGCAGAGCCTTACTTTGGGCCTGGCTCAACAGGAGAGCTCTAGAAACAGGGGGAAAGATTTGCGGGAAATTTTGAGCCCCTCTACCAAGCCCAGTAGCTATGTACCATACTCTCTACCAGCCTGCTAGGGTCAGGGCACATTTCTCTCCTCTTAAGGGACATTAAGCTATAATGTAGCTGGCAGTGCCTTCAGCTCTCTCTGGGGGGTTTTCAGAGACAAATATTTTTTAGCAAAACACTGAGGCAGCTTCTTTTACACCACTGAATTCCAACCCAAACAAAAGCAGTTTAAATGAACCCCAGTGCAAAGGGGATTCACTGAAAGTCAAGTGATGTAGAAGCAGGTCTTTGTGCTCCGATCTGAGTGAGGTAGCCTTATGCCTGTGTTACCAGTCAATCTAAGCCTCTCTTTAGATTCTGCAGTAGCATCAAAGTCCCTCAACAGTCCATCTAAGACTTCTTCTGTGCTCTAGGAGTATTCCAGTTCTAATCAGTCCGGCCTTGTTCGCTCATGGGCTCCACAAAGTACTTCCTCTTTTTTTTTTTTTTTTTGGTTTCAAAGGAACTCTTTTCTCTCTGCTTCATTCTCTTTATTTTCCCTCCAAACAGATAGGCAGGCTCCAGTCACATATTCCACCACAGAGCCCTGCATCCTCATGTGCCTAGCTTGTACCCTGCATCTCTCCCTACAGAAAACCCTTTCTGAAAATCACCTGTTACTGGTGCTCCACATCTTGTATTACTCCTGTAATAAGGCAACACAATCACAATACACTTCACTGTCAAAACAGTCAATAGCACATCCCTCTTTCCAGGCCCCTGCTAAGTACTGGAAAGGTGATAATTATTTTTGGCTTTAACAACCACCCACCTGAAGAAATTCAGAATAAGGACATGGGAAAGAAAGACCTGGAACCTCTCTTTTTCCTATAGGGACAAGAACAAAGAAATTTGAGGAGGCATGGGGAAGGTAGTGCCCTCATGCCCCACCTTACCTGCAGCCCTGCCTGACAACTTGTACAGATGAATTGTAGGGCTGTGTTATGGTCATCTTTGAAATTGGTACATTTAATTAAACCAGATGGAATTTCTAATGCAATAAACAGAGAATGGAAACTGCCCTCAACACATCTAGCCCAGGACCTATTCTGGGGTTTGTTATCAGCACTACTGTGGCTTTGTGGTCTAGAGCAGGGTCTAGTGCTGCAGATACACTAGAAAGTCCATACTTGCCCCTAACTGGCTATGCTCTGGTCTATGGTGGGCAGGTAGAAATATGCGACTCCTTCCACTGAGTTTGTCACAGCTGGTCTGAAAAGATGTGGAACAGTTTCCATATCACACTGGCCTAAAGTTTCTGTACTTGTATAGAACAGGGCTGATCCACTTCCAAGTGGCCAGGGACTGCATGCCCCATGAACCACAGGCCCCCAGGCTGTGCAGCATACACATGCAGGTCGATACTCTCCTCCTCCCTCATTGCACCTCATGTGGGAACAGGCACTCCACCCACTGTCCCCATAGGGTGCAACACCTTGCCTCACCTGCAGCTCCCCTGAAGTACCATGGCCTCTCTAGGCTACTAGCTCACTATGTACTACAGCCCAGCCCATACCAGGTTGTTATGCTGTCCCAACCCCTGGATTTGGCAGCAGAAGCCAGGGAATGGAGGGGGAGCCCCAAGACCCTGGCTGTTATTGCAGCTGGAGCACGGTGCAGGTGCAGTGGTGGTCTAATGGGGCCCCTTCTCACCCTGGTATAGATGTTCTTTTTAAAAAAATGCCACGCTGCCAGATTTCACAGGAAGCAGAAAAAGTGCACTGTGTTCTAAAGCTTGTCTAAGCCTACCCCTACCATGCAGTTAATAGAATTAAAAGATATCCTTGCCTCTTGTATATTTCCTGGACCATCACGGCTACAACACTCCTTCCACTAGTTACAAGTTTCAGTATTTTCATAGATTTTTTTTTTTTTGACAGCTTGCCAAAAAAGAGAGCCAGCTTTACCTAGGCTACTTCAATGGCATTTTTTGTCTGACTTACCACTTCCAGGACTTGGCTGAAGCAGGGCTGTGCAATAGGGATGTGCCAAGCAGGCCCTATTCGACGCAGATTCAGCCCGAATCAGGGACAGTGATTCAATTTGTTGTTTTGGATCACTGTCCCCAATTCGATTCGGCCGAATCTGAAGATTTAATGCCAATTTGGACAATCGACGATTCAGCCATAGACACAGCTCTAGATGTTTTCTCTACATACGTCGAGGTACCAGGCATGGCTCGTGAATGCTGTGATGCTGGGACGTATGGA